GGGCCGTCGTGAGAGGGCGTCCGCAGCTCGATTGGCGGGACCGGGAATGTGGCACGGGTCAAAGTCGAATTGGTCGATGTAATACATCCATCGACTGATCGTACTCGTGACCGAATCCTGCGTTTTGTAAAAGGTCAACGGATTGTTGTCCGTATTCCATTTAAAACGCCGACGGCCGAGAAGAAAGTGGCGCCACCGTTTGAGAACGGTATCGAACGCGAGTAGCTCTTTCTTCCTAGCGTCGTCGAGAGTGTTGACGAGAGGCACCTTTTGGGAGAAATACTCGATTGGATGCCAACCGTCCTCGTGACACTGTTCCAACACCGCACCAATACCGTATCCCGAAGCGTCCGTAGTCACTTGGGTTGGGAGGGTGGGGTCATATATACGGAAGGCAGGTGCGGCTTGCATTGCTGCCTTCAACGTAGTGAACGCGTCACGGGCTGCGTCGTCGAACTCGAMGGGCACCTTCGGGGACTGAAGTCTCGACAAAGGAGCGGCCACTTTTGAGTATGACTCGACGAATCGCTGATAATATCCAGCCAAGCCCATGAAAGAGCGTACATCCGTCGTGCAACGGGGTTCCGGCCAATCCACGATGGCTTGGATCTTGTCCGCTAAGGGACGAATACCTTTCGGCGTGACAAAATGACCCAAGTACTCCAGCTCCTGCTTGGCGAACTCGCACTTGTCGAGATTCGCTTTGTACTTGGCTAGTCGCAAACGATCTAGAACAACGCGAAGGTGTACGATGTGCTCGTCCAACGTCCGACGGTAAGCCAAGATGTCATCGAGGTAGATGAGGACGCTGCGATCGCGCAAGTCGCGAAACTCAGTCGTCATCGTTGCTTGGAAAGTCGCGGGGGCATTGGTGAGGCCAAATGGCATGACAACCCACTCAAAATGCCCGTACCGCGTCTTGATCGCGGTCTTGTACCGATCTTGAGGCTGGATTTCAATCTGGTGGTAACCCGACTTCAAGTCCACTTTCGAGAAGTACGTCGCGCCGCCTAACCGCTCAAGAAGATCATCAATCCGAGGGAGAGGGCCGACATTCTTTACGGTTTGTGCGTTAAGTTTACGATAATCGATGCATAACCGTAGATCTTTGTTCTTCTTCCAGACGAAGAGAACAGAGGCACCATAGGGCGAACAACTAGGGCGAATCCAGCCCTTGTCGAGAAGGTCATCGAGTTGTGCGCGAAGCACCTCGAGTTCCTCTTCGCTCATGCGGTAGATACATCCACGCGAAGGGACGGCGCCAGCCTCGAGAGTGATCCCGTGACGTATAGGCCGATCCGGAACCGTCCCTGTGGGAGCCTCGAAGACGTCTCTATACTCGTCCAAGAGGTAAGAAATGCGTGGGTCCGGCGGTGACGCGGCTGGTCCGTCCGGCGAGGGGAGGGCATGCAAGAATACAAGGGCCATCTCCTCGATGTCATTCCGAGCTATGGCGTCGCGAATTCTCGCAACGGAAACCACGTGACAAGCAATCGAAGTGTGAGGGGTCGCGACCGTACATGGGACTAACACTCCGTTCCGATCACGGATGTGAACGGTTCGGTCATGAAAGTTCACCGGATGATCGGCGCTACGCAACCAAGACATGCCTAGAATCATGTCGAACTTGGTGTCGAGGATGTCAAAAAACACCGGCTCGCACGCAAGTGGCGCAAAGTATACCGGAACGTCGTCGACGCATCGGTCAATTGACTTTTGCGTGCGACCGTCCGCGAGTGTAACTTGCGTAGGTTGCGTCTTCCTTCGAACGCGCGGGCCATAAAGGCTTGGCTCATAAAGTTGTGAGACGCTCTGCAATCAATCAAGGCACTACAGGTTGCCTTTTCGATTTGAATGCGGATATAGAGCAAAGGCGCGTCCGTTTTGGCGTACCTTTGGGTGGCGTACTCGCGGTCAATCTTCCCAAGATAGGAGCGGAGATCGACAACCGCTACCCCGTCGTCCGTCAACAGAGCTGGTATTGTAGTGTGCAAATAGGAGCGTAAATTTGCCATCAAGGCATTGCAATGCGGCCTTGGCAAGGTTCCGGTCGAGGGTAGAGGCATCCAAGCGAAGTCCTCTCTCGTGAGCGGGTCAAGCTCCTCAAGTCTTGACCACGCCATCGAGTCCTCGAAAGTCAGTGGCGAGCTGACCGGATCACTTGCCGACGGTGTACAGGCTGCGCATACGCAATCTACATGCACGTGGCTAGGCTGGTCTAATGGTGGTAGCAGCTGGGCGGCATAATCCTCGTACGTAGCACGAGAATCAGCGACTAACGCATGCTCCCCGGTAGTGACATCGATTGCTAGCAAGGCAACCAGTTCCGGCGGAGTGAGGAGAGGCGTCGCCCCTCTCCTTGCGTAACTCAGTTTCCCGAGTTAGCTGGACGGGGTACGCGTGCCTTGCCCTTTTCGGGGCATTGTGCAGTCAAATGAGTGACTCCATTGCACCAAAGGCAATATCCGTACCGTTGACGAAGGTCATAGATTTCTTTGGTTATCTTGTATGTCGTCCATGGCTGCTGCCCAGTTCCTGTCGATGCCGTCTCTTGTGTTGCCTTGTTCTTCCAAACTCTCTAGGGATGCTTCGGCGGGAGCGCTGCTACAATTCCTCCATCACTCGAGGATTCTGCTGCATCGTGGAGATTGACTGTTTCTTCAAAAATCACGACATTGTTATGTGCCGGTCGTTGATAGCCTGGCTTAGCCACATAATGCGGTTGGGACTGCCGTTCGTTTGCGGCCTTGTCATCCGTTTGGATGACCAAGTTCGCACGATCCAGGATAGCCTAGAATGAGGCGTAATCGTACTCGCTGTCGAGTGCGGTTCGGAGTCCTGCGCATGATCGCGAGAAGAACTCGGATTGTTGATTGGTAAAACTCAAATCGAAGTCTGGCGTGGTCGCTATCTTTTGCCACTTGGTTGTCCAGTCTCGAGTTGGCATATTCCCTTGAGAGCAGGTGTACACCTCGTTCATGGCCGCCTTCACGACGTTGCGGACCATGAACCGAGTGAACCATAGCTTCTCGAACTCCTTCCACGGAATGTGCGTGTGGAGTTCGGCGATGGTGCATTTGTTGGTAGCCACTAGATGGTTCATTCAGGCCTGCGCCCCTCCAATCAGTTGTAAGTAGAGCGCCTTCATCATGTCGTCAGCCGGGACAGTGCGGCAAGATGCTTCCGTGAGGAAACGTTGCCACCATGTCAAGGCGTCCGACTTGTTGTAGTCGTTGAACTTGTTGTAGTCGTCGAACTTGCTGATGTCGAAGTGCGGCATCTTGTAATTCTTTGTAGCGGCGTCCGGTCTTGTCTGCAGGTTGGTGATGCTCGTCTTGATGGCGGCCACCCTGCTGCTGATCGTGGCCGGACTAGTGAAATCACCTAGTTCGCCAATGATAGTGGCGACGTGATCAATGAGCTCGTTGAGCTGCTTCGTCGCGTCCGTCGTGCAGCCTGGCGCTGCTGAGGCCGTTGCCTAAATGCTGTTGATGCGTGCGAGAGTGGAGTTCAACAGTTGTTGCTGTTGTTGCTGCTGTGTTGCTGCGTTGCGGACGGCGACCGTCAAAAAAGCCACCTCTTGCTGGTACTTTTGTCGTTGCTGTCGTTCCGCGAGCAGGTGTGCCTGCAGCAGTTTGTTGTTCCACATTACTCCCCTCATCACGCTCAACATCAGGGTAGCCAGGTTACTTCTCTCTCCCTCCGCCTGTGTCGGAGCCGCCTGTGTCGGAGCCGCCTGCGCTTCCGTAGGCACAAAGAACATGCCTTCGAGTAGCGTTGTCCACTGCTTCTCATGTTGAATCATGGACTCCGTGCTGGCGGCATTCCGTCTGTCTCGTGCTGCTGCGTCAGCCTCAGCAGTCTGCTGAGCTTGGGCTGCCGCCTCATTGGCCAGCCGCTGACGTTCTGCCTCTGCTGCCTCCTGCTGAACCTTGGCGGCAGCTACGGCATCTGTGAATACCTGTAGCCGCCCAAGGTAGTCAGCCAACGGTTCCTGGGCCCCTTGGACCGGACATGCGGGAAGAACTCCGGTGAGAACCGGTACTGTCAATGCTGTACTTGATGCCGCTTGAGTCGTCCACTTGCTGAGCCGCTGTTGCTGATACTTGCTTCGTGGAGGTACCGCAGGACGGGTGCGAACTGCAAGCCTGGCACTGCGTCGTGGCAGTGCCCCGGTGTCTTGTTCCACCGACATCAGCTCTGGCTGATGTGGTACCTCAGACATCCCGGTGGTCACAGATTACGGGGAGGGTAGGGAGAGTGGGAACAGGGGTAGAACAATCAAAACACTTCACCTACAGTCCCTGTCCCACTGATGGACTGTAGACACCTAATCAAACAGACAAATAAATTTCCTTCTCAAACAAGGGAGAGAAAAAAAATTCACGAAAATTTCGTAGTCCAACCCTAATTTTCCGCGATTCCGTGGAATTTCCGGTTTTACGGTTCCAAAAACGTTCGAATTTCCCAAGTTGATGTAAAACGAAAAATTTTTGTAAACCTTATTTCCTTACTGAAATACAACGGAAATGCCGATTTAGAAAATGGAATACAGGATTAAAATCAGAATGCTGGATTATAAAAACGGAAACCGAAATGAAATCAGAATGCCAAATTAAACAGAGTACTGATTTAAACCTAATCACGAATTACTAATCAGAAATCCGAAATAAACAGAATGTCGGATTACCCAGAATACACTTAATCGGAATCCGAAGTAACCAGAAGACCAGATTAAAACAGAAATCCAAAGAATAAGTCCGAATAACGAATTGAAACGGAATGCCGATTAAACAGAAAACCGAAAAAGAAAAAATTTGCAACTTTTGAATCTCGATAGTAATACAGAGCTGATTTGGAAGATTTAAGAAACAATCTAATTCCTGATCAGACTTACCTGGTGAGCAGATCCGTAAAATGGTCTGCTCCGATACCAAAACTGTTACATACTCGCGAGAATATCAACGAGTATGGGGCAGAACCAAAGATCAACCAATATAGGATGAGCATGTATGCAGCGGAAGTCTGATAAACAGACTGACTCACATAGATATCACTCCACACA